TAGGAGGAGGGCATTCAGAGTTAGTGTGTTTGGATTGGCTAGTTATCTGGGATGGGCCGTGACAGAGCTAGGAGGCGGGCATTCAGAGTCAGTGTGTTTGGATTGGCTAGTTATCTGGGATGGGCCGTGACAGAGCTAGGAGGCGGGCATTCAGAGTTAGTGTGTTTGGATTGGCTAGTTATCTGGGATGGGCATAGACAGAGCTAGGAGGCGGGCATTCAGAGTTAGTGTGTTTGGATTGGCTAGTTATCTGGGATGGGCATAGACAGAGCTAGGAGGCGGGCATTCAGAGTTAGTGTGTTTGGATTGGCTTGCTATCTGGGATGGGCGGTGACAGAGCTAGGAGGCGGGCATTCAGAGTTAGTGTGTTTGGATTGGCTAGTTATCTGGGATGGGCCGTGACAGAGCTAGGAGGCGGGCATTCAGAGTTAGTGTGTTTGGATTGGCTAGTTATCTGGGATGGGCCGTGACAGAGCTAGGAGGCGGGCATTCAGAGTTAGTGTGTTTGGATTGGCTAGTTATCTGGGATGGGCCGTGACAGAGCTAGGAGGCGGGCATTCAGAGTTAGTGTGTTTGGATTGGCTAGTTATCTGGGATTGGCTAGGAGGCTGGCATTCAGTGTTAGTGTGTTTGGATTGGTTAGTTATCTGGGATGGGCGTTGACAGAGCTAGGAGGCGGGCATTCATAGTTAGTGTATTTGGATTGGCTCGCTATCTGGGATGGGCCGTGACAGAGCTAGGAGGCGGGCATTCAGAGTTAGTGTGTTTGGATTGGCTAGTTATCTGGGATGGGCATTGACAGAGCAAGGAGGCGGGCATTCATAGTTAGTGTATTTGGATTGGCTCGCTATCTGGGATGGGCCGTGACAGAGCTAGGAGGCGGGCATTCAGAGTTAGTGTGTTTGGATTGGCTAGTTATCTGGGATGGGCCGTGACAGAGCTAGGAGGCGGGCATTCAGAGTTAGTGTGTTTGGATTGGCTAGTTATCACAGGATAGGCGTGACAGAGCTAGGGGCGGGCATTCAGGTAGGTGTGTGTGTTTGGACAGCTGAGTATCTGGGATGGGCGTGAGCCTTGGAGCTAGGCGGGCATTCAGAGTTAGTGTGTTTGGATTGGCTAGTTATCTGGGATGGGCCGTGACAGAGCTAGGAGGCGGGCATTCAGAGTTAGTGTGTTTGGATTGGCTAGTTATCTGGGATGGGCCGTGACAGAGCTAGGAGGCGGGCATTTATAGTTAGTGCGTTTGGATTGGCTTGCTATCTGGAATGGGCTGTGACAGAGCTAGGAGGCGGGCATTCAGAGTTAGTGTTTTTGGATTGGCTAGTTATCTGCGATGGGCTGTGACAGAGCTAGGAGGCGGGCATTCAGAGTTAGTGTGTTTGGATTGGCTAGTTATCTGGGATAGGCTGTGACAGAGCTAGGAGGCGGGCATTCAGAGTTAGTGTGTTTGGATTGGCTAGTTATCTGGGATGGACATTGACAGAGCTAGGAGGCGGGCATTCAGAGTTAGTGTGTTTGGATTGGCTAGCTATCTGGGATGGGCAGTGACAGAGCTAGGAGGCGGGCATTCAGAGTTAGTGTGTTTGGATTGGCTAGCTATCTGGGATGGGCAGTGACAGAGCTAGGAGGCGGGCATTCAGAGTTAGTGTGCTTGGATTGGCTAGTTATCTGGGATGGGCAGTGACAGAGCTAGGAGGCGGGCATTCAGAGTTAGTGTGTTTGGATTGGCTAGCTATCTGGGATGGGCTGTGACAGAGCTAGGAGGCGGGCATTCAGAGTTAGTGTGTTTGGATTGGCTAGTTATCTGGGATGGGCCTTGACAGAGCTAGGAGGCGGGCATTCAGAGTTAGTGTGTTTGGATTGGCTAGCTATCTGGGATGGGCAGTGACAGAGCTAGGAGGCAGGCATTCATACTTAGTGTTTGGATTGGCTAGTTATCTGGGATGGGCTGTGACAGAGCTAGCAGGCGGACATTCAAAGTTAGTGTGTTTGGATTGGCTAGTTATCTGAGGTGGGCAGTGACAGAGCTAGGAGGCGGGCATTCATAGTAAGTGTGTTTGGATTGGCTAGTTATCTGGGATGGGCCGTGACAGAGCTAGGAGGCGGGCATTCATACTTAGTGTTTGGATTGGCTAGTTATCTGGGATGGGCTGTGACAGAGCTAGGAGGCGGACATTCAGAGTTAGTGTGTTTGGATTGGCTAGTTATCTGAGGTGGGCAGTGACAGAGCTAGGAGGCGGGCATTCATAGTTAGTGTGTTTGGATTGGCTAGTTATCTGGGATGAGCTGTGACAGAGCTAGGAGGCGGATATTCAGAGTTAGTGTGTTTGGATTGGCTAGCTATCTGGGATGGGCCATGACAGAGCTAGGTGGCGGGTATTCAGAGTTAGTGTGTTTGGATTGGCTAGTTATCTGGGATGGGCCGTGACAGAGCTAGGAGGAGGGCATTCAGAGTTAGTGTGTTTGGATTGGCTAGTTATCTGGGATGGGCCGTGACAGAGCTAGGAGGCGGGCATTCAAAGTCAGTGTGTTTGGATTGGCTAGTTATCTGGGATGGGCCGTGACAGAGCTAGGAGGCGGGCATTCAGAGTTAGTGTGTTTGGATTGGCTAGTTATCTGGGATGAGCCGTGACAGAGCTAGGAGGCGGGCATTCAGAGTTAGTTTGTTTGGATTGGCTAGTTATCTGGGATGGGCCGTGACAGAGCTAGGAGGCGGGCATTCAGAGTTAGTGTGTTTGGATTGGCTAGTTATCTGGGATGGGCCGTGACAGAGCTAGGAGGCGGGCATTCAGAGTTAGTGTGTTGTTTGGATTGGCTAAATGAGCGTGACAGAGCTAGGAGGCATTGTTGAGTGTGTTTGGATTGGCTGGCAGGATGGGCGTGACAGAGCTAGGAGGCGGGCATTCAGAGTTAGTGTGTTTGGATTGGCTAGCTATCTGGGATGGGCCAGTGACAGAGCTAGGAGGCAGGCATTCAGAGTTAGTGTGTTTGGATTGGCTAGTTATCTGGGATGGGCGTGACAGAGCTAGCAGGCGGACATTCAAAGTTAGTGTGTTTGGATTGGCTAGTTATCTGAGGTGGGCAGTGACAGAGCTAGGAGGCGGGCATTCATAGTAAGTGTGTTTGGATTGGCTAGTTATCTGGGATGGGCCGTGACAGAGCTAGGAGGCGGGCATTCATACTTAGTGTTTGGATTGGCTAGTTATCTGGGATGGGCTGTGACAGAGCTAGGAGGCGGCATTCAGAGTTAGTGTGTTTGGATTGGCTAGTTATCTGGGATGGGCAGTGACAGAGCTAGGAGGCGGGCATTCAGAGTTAGTGTGTTTGGATTGGCTAGTTATCTGGGATGGGCTGTGACAGAGCTAGGAGGCGGGCATTCAGAGTTAGTGTGTTTGGATTGGCTAGCTATCTGGGATGGGCTGTGACAGAGCTAGGAGGCGGGCATTCAGAGTTAGTGTGTTTGGATTGGCTAGTTATCTGGGATGGGCCGTGACAGAGCTAGGAGGCGGGGCATTCAGAGTTAGTGTGTTTGGATTGGCTAATTATCTGGGAAGGGCCGTGACAGAGCTAGGAGGCGGGCATTCAGAGTTAGTGTGTTTGGATTGGCTAGTTACCTGGGATGGGCGGGGCTGATACATATAGGTCAGCCATCTTAAAATGTTCCCATTCTAATGTTTTCTCACAGACCGTGTGGTTGCTGCCAGCACTGCCGGTGTGGATTCAGGCCTGGGAGAATTCCTTTTTTTCTAGCAGGTTCATCATGGGGTCTGTGTTTGCAGAGAGCAGCCCAGGAGAGGGGAGCAGGCTGGGTTCAGGAGCTGCTGAAATCACTGATGATGGCAGAGCTGAGAGGCTTTATGGCAGACAGTGCAGGTCTGATGGGCCTAGGCAGGAAAAGCATCAGAGCAGGGCCCAGGACATCATGGCTGCTGTTAAGGGACACAGGAGGCTCAATACTGACAGGAAAGGTGTCAGATCTGATCATAACAGAGCTAGTGATCATCATGGCAAGGAACTGGAACAGGGTTCATCGTGAGGTCTGTGTTTGCAGCCATTCTGGAGGGAATCAAGGGAGAAGCCCAGGGGAAGGGAGCTGACTGTGTTCAGGAGCAGCTGAAATCACTGATGATGGCAGCGCTGAGCATGTCAGTGAATCTAAGCAGGCTTAATGGGCCTAGCCAGCCAAATCTGAGCAGGCTTAATGGGCCTAGGCAGCGAATCTGAGCAGGCTTAATGGGCCTAGGCAGCCAAATCTGAGCAGGCTTAATGTGCCTAGGCAGCAAATCTAAGCAGGCTTAATGGGCCTAGGCAGCGAATCTGAGCAGGCTTAATGTGCCTAGGCAGCCAAATCTGAGCAGGCTTAATGGGCCTAGCCAGCCAAATCTGAGCAGGCTTAATGTGCCTAGCCAGCCAAATCTGAGCAGGCTTAATGTGCCTAGGCAGCGAATCTGAGCAGGCTTAATGGGCCTAGGCAGCAAATCTAAGCAGGCTTAATGGGCCCAGGCAGCGAATCTGAGCAGGCTTAATTTGCCTAGCCAGCCAAATCTGAGCAGGCTTAATGTGCCAGGCCAGCCAAATCTGAGCAGGGTTAATGGGCCTAGCCAGCCAAATCTGAGCAGGCTTAATGGGCCTAGGCAGCAAATCTGAGCAGGCTTAATGGTCCTAGCCAGCCAAATCTGAGCAGGCTTAATGGGCCTAGGCAGCAAATCTGAGCAGGCTTAATGGGCCTAGCCAGCCAAATCTGAGCAGGCTTAATGGGCCTAGCCAGCCAAATCTGAGCAGGCTTAATGGGCCTAGCCAGCCTAATCTGAGCAGGCTTAATGGGCCTAAGCAGCGAATCTGAGCAGGCTTAATGGGCCTAGGCAGCAAATCTAAGCAGGCTTAATGGGCCTAGGCAGCCAAATCTGAGCAGGCTTAATGGGCCTAGGCAGCAAATCTAAGCAGACTTAATGGGCCTAGCCAGCCAAATCTGAGCAGGCTTAATTTGCCTAGCCAGACAAATCTGAACAGGCTTAATGTGCCTAGCCAGCCATATCTGAGCAGGGTTAATGGGCCTAGCCAGCCAAATCTGAGCAGGCTTAATGGGCCTAGGCAGCGAATCTGAGCAGGCTTAATGTGCCTAGCCAGCCAAATCTGAGCAGGCTTAATGTGCCTAGCCAGCCAAATCTGAGCAGGCTTAATGGGCCTAGCCAGCCAAATCTGAGCAGGCTTAATGGGCCTAGCCAGCCAAATCTGAGCAGGCTTAATGGGCCTAAGCAGCGAATCTGAGCAGGCTTAATGGGCCTAGGCAGCAAATCTAAGCAGGCTTAATGGGCCTAGGCAGCCAAATCTGAACAGGCTTAATGGGCCTAGGCAGCAAATCTAAGCAGACTTAATGGGCCTAGCCAGCCAAATCTGAGCAGGCTTAATGGGCCTAGGCAGCTAACTCTGAGTAGGCTTAATGGGCCTAGGCAGCAAATCTGAGCAGGCTTAATGAACCTAGGCAGCAAATCTGAGCAGGCTTAATGAACCTAGGCAGCAAATCTGAGCAGGCTTAATGGGCCTAGGCAGCGAATCTGAGCAGGCTTAATGAACCTAGGCAGCAAATCTGAGCAGCCCTAATGGGCTTAGGCAGCATAGGAATCACAGCAGGGCTCCAGGACTTCAGGGGTGCTGTTCAGGACCACAGGAAAAAACTGACAGGGAAGGTGCCAGATCTGAACATAGCAGATCCAGGGATCATCATGGTAAGGAAGTGGAACAGGAATCCTTTGGCGGCAGGAGTGACAGATTCATCATGAGGTCTGTGTTTGCAGCCATAGTGAAGGAAATCGAGAGAAAAACCCAGAAGGGAACTGACTGGGTTCAGGAGTGGCTGAAATCACTGGGTGTTGGGGCAACACTGTGGCAGCATGGGGTGTGTAGGTCACTTCTGAGGTGGATAATGAGCAAACTGAACTGTCTGTTTGCATTCCTGGTGTGGCCAGACAGAATGCTTATGCATCCTTTTCAGGGGGTTCTGGCAGTCCATTTAAAACAGAAGATGTAAGAAAATTTTTTGAAGGGGGAGTTTGGGGAATATTCTCTTTTGACCTTAGAGGAATTAATTGACATGAAGGAAGAGGATAAGAAGGAGGCAAAGGAAGTGAGGAATGAGTAAAGGTGGCGGTATCAGACAATATCTAAGTCTTTTGGTAATTGGTTGCAGGCTTTTTTGCATACTTGCAATTGTAATTAGTGAGAAGTCACCGGTATAATGCTCCCCGTTGTTCTGTTATCTAGACGTAAGGTTTTCTAGCTACACGGTGATAGCCAATGCAAGTGGGGCACCAACTGTAATTTCAAGTGCCCTGGTTGTAAGGGAGCTCACAGACACAGCAGGTTCTTCGACCGATGTAGGACTAGTTCCACCACTGGCGCGTCTGATTTTGTGGCGACTTCTGTTGCCTCAGGGGCAAAGCCCATTGAGGTTAGGCATGATGCTATTCTGGGTAAGCCACTGTGCTAATCAAGGGGGCATATTTGTTAAGTGACCGTTTTGTACACTTTTTTTATTCCGTTTTGGGATCGGGAAGCAGTTAGGCGGTTCTGTGACTTGAAATCAGTTTTGGAGTTCATGCAGGGGGTTAGGGACAATATATTCAAGGAGGTAGGATGGCAGTGTCGTTTGAGGCATTCCTGTTAAAAAATCTCAAAATTTCATTAGGGGTGGTGCCAAAGAAGGAGACTAGAAAATACAGACTTACCCACTATCTGTCTCATCCTAAAGGGATGAGACAGATAGTGGGTAGCTATGCTCAGTCTCTTACGCATCATTCGACCAGGCGGTCGAGTTGGTTAAGAGGTCTGGAAAAAATGCTCTGTTGGCTAAGGTAGATATAGAATCGGATTTTACCCATACATCCTGATTGCCATCACTTATTAGGATGCTTTATTGAAGGCAAGTTCTATGTGGCTTTGTGTCTATCGATGGGATGTTCCATCTCGTGTGCTTACTTGGAAATATTAAGCACTTTGTGAAATGGGTAGTTAGAGAGGAAGCTGGTAATCAATTTATTGTTCACTACCTGGATGATTATCTTTGTGTGAGCTCTTCTGATTAAAATTCTAGCCTATACATGATGAGAACGCTGGAATAGGTAGCGCAATTGTTGGGTCTAATATTGGCATCTGACGAAATGGAGGGCCTAGCTACATGTCTTACTTCCTAGGGTTGGAGATCGACTCGGAGAGGGGTGGAGATACACTTCCTATAGACAAAGTGATTGCATTGCGGTAGGTTGTGGCAGAGGTAAAAAAAAAAGGCCAGGATGGTGACATTGAGGCAATTACAATCTTTGATCGGCCATCTTAACTTTGGGTTATCCTGATGGGACAAGTTTTAACAGGTTTTTGGCCAAGGCTACTTGTGGGAAAGAATCACCTTATCACCTTTTTCAGGGTCACTGCAGCTATGGAGGCAGTTGTAGAAGTATGGAAATCATTTCTTTATCAGAACTGTGTTTTTCAGAAAAAAAGGCAGTTCCTTCTGTGGAGCTGGCGGTTTCTCCTGCTGAGCATCTTTATTGATGCTTTAGGGAGTGTGGGCTTTGGGACTTATTTTGGAGGTCAGTGATGTGCAAAGAGGGTTGGCCTGCAGAGTGGAAAATAAGCCGTCTCGTCAACAAACTAGCATTTCTCGAGTTGTTTATTGGTGGTGGCACTTTCATTGTGGGTTGAGCAGTTGAAGCATAGAAAAGTTATATTCCTTACTCACAATATACCGGTTGTTCTAGTGGTTAATCACCTGTTTGCTTAATCGATTCTGATGGGGCATGGACATGGGCAAACAAAAAAGAAAAAGAAAAGAAAAAATAAAAACAATTGAAAAAAATAAATAAAATAAAGCTAAAAAAAAACCTTTCTCACTATGAAGTATTGTTATTTATGTGACATTTTGTCTTTGCTTCCTTAGGGTTGGTTGCATGGTAGGTGGGTCAATCGTATGTACACTGGGCATAGAAGTGAGCTGCAGTTGGTCAGCAGCTGGGCTTTCTGGTGGACCAGGTTACATTGGTGTGGCTTGGGTTTCGGGGATTCTGGTAGTGAGAGGTGTGGCAGTAGATGTTAGCAGCTTGGTTGAAGCAGGGGTCCACAGATTTTGTTTTATTTCAGACAGGAGATAATGACATGGGGCAGGTGCAAAAGCAGGAGTTGGTTAAACAAATGAAAAGGAATGTGGACCAATTCCGGGAGTTAGTGGCAGGGGTTGTGGTTCATTGGTCTGCAATGTTTCTCTGTAGGCATGCTAGGGATCATGCTGCAGGATTATGGCCGTTTTCTATAAAAGGTTGGAAGTATGGTGATTAGGCACCTGGAGCTGGAATCAATGTGCATCACAGTGCATCTTTCGGAGGTTGGTCTCCACCATTTCAATTTAGGAATGCAAGAAGGTTTGGCCAGGACATTGTATGTTGGGGGTGGCGGTGCTCAGACATCTTAAGGGGTCACGGTCTGAGCTGTGGCGGGGTGCCGGATAGGTAAATTGGGGTGGAATAGGTTGTTATTATGGATTGAATTAATTATGTGTTTTAAAAGTTGATATGTGGTTTAAAAGTTGAAATGGTAGGTTGCGAGCTGGCCTGTGGCTCAGAACCTGGGGGTGTAGTGGTATCTCGGTATAACCCTACATTGGATAATTCGGACAAGTTGGTATGGTAGGTTTCAAGCTGGCTTGTGGCCAGAACCTGGGGGTGTAGAGATATCTCAGAATACCCCTACATTGGATCACTTTATTAGGTTTCATGATGTTATTTATGTTATATTGTTACGGTGTTATGTTGTTAATTTTGGGGTCATTGTCATTGTAATGTTGTGGGGGTTAGTTATATACTGTCTCATAGGGTTTGTTTGACAATTAATTTCTGTATTAAAATTGATATTATAATATATTAAAAGCCGTGGACATAATTTTACCCAACATATTGGTGTCCGTGCATTATTGGGTATGAATAGGGTTTTTATTCTTAATGCCCAAGGGTACGACTATGCGCCTGTCAAGTAAGCTGTCAGAGAATTTATGTGTTCAAATTTCCAGTAAGTGTGTGAGAGCAAGAAAAAGCCAAATACATAGCATGATTCTGACACTCTATGGCTTAAGGATATAGGAGACCCTGAACCAAGCCATTTACTAACTTATCAGTTTTATGGAGAGTTAAACAAGAACAAAGAAGTTGGTAAGTTTTTTACACAGACCCCCTAACTTCAGTCCTTTACATGAAATATTTATCTCCCTATTACGGCAGTATGCATTAGGGGTGAGTATGGGCCAAGAATTTGGTTTGGTTCAGGACTTCGGCAATTCGGGACTTCTGCACTTCCGAAATTCGGGAATTCGGCTATTCTGGCAATTTATGACTTAGGCAATTTGGTATTTCGTCATTTCGGGATTTTGGCACTTCCTTAACCCCAACTCTAACCCTAACAACCACAACCACTTGTACATGTAGGGTAAGGGCTAGATTCCTGTAATGATTCCCGTAATTTTCCCTCCCTCTCTTGTTTTGCCACTTTTCAGAAATCCAAAGTACTTCCGAAATTCAGCAATTCGGAAGCATCCGAATGTCCGAATTGCCGTAATTCGGCCGAATTTACATTCGGAACAAAACCAATTGCACATGTCTAGTATGCATGACACTGAACTTTACAAATTCTTATGAATTGGAAAAGTCTGATATTCAAAAGGGTACATAGACTATAAAGAGGGAGTAGGACAAGTAAGAATAGATAGCTCTAAAACTGGAATGAAAAGTATCACCACATTTTTAGAGAAATAGGGGAAACGAGAACACCCCATATTTTATATTTAATATAATAGTATATTAACTGTCATTGGTGCCATCAGCCCTGTCAGGACACATTTTTTTGTATAAAGGTGTTCTGATACCTGCAAGTACAGTGTACATGTTTGTCAGTGAAGTGCTTTTTATGCCACTTTTAGTGGCATATATATTTGTAAGTGCATAGCATTATATCTTTTATTTACATGTTTGATGGTTTTACACTATGTCTGTTTCTTATATGTGTTTTAAGCATTCAGAATTTTTTGATGGCATTTAAATTTGTCTACTATTTAATCAGGACTGGTCCATAATCTGTAACACTTAGAGAAAGCCTGTTATCTTTGGCGAAATGCATCAGTGTTTATTCTTTTTATGGTTTTCATCTTTATTTTCAATACATATAGTTATTTTTAACTATATTTGAACCTTCCTGATTTTATCCAGAAGATTGTATTCAGAAGATCCTGACATCATATTCCTTGGCGGTGAACATACCACCCAAGCTATAAGGATTCGGCAAAACCCATTGTTTGCCCTCCACTAGTGAGTACATCTCCTTTTATCGCCCATATTTATTTTACTACAGAGAGCGATGTATATAATTTTATTATTTTATATATGTTAAATATCCTGATGACCCTTTGCTGCTATACTCCTGGGCACTGACAAGCGTAAATGCTGAATACCTCGAGATAGGGAGCTCATACCACACCAGCTACACGAAACAACTATCGACCGGAAAGACTACCACACGCAAGATCAAGATATTCCACAGATCCATAGTCGGGGATTATACCTCCGAGCGCATATATTTGGAGCTAATAACTAGCTCCAAAAAAGTGTAAGTGCTTTTCCTTTTATTTACCTCACCAACTATCTGAAAGTACTACACCATATTTCGTTTTTGTCCCCTGTTTTCCATATTGTATTATATTGTATTTTCCTGACTGGAATTTTACACATGGACAGGGCCCTAAAATAGGAAATCACTCATTGAGTTCAGAGTTAGTAGGTGGCCTGTTATTTTAAGAGTCTATAATATAGTGTGATAACATATATGCTCCATAATGGCTGGAGAATGATGTGAGTTGCAGTGTAAACATTAAATTAGGAGACTAACCAAAATGGTTAGAGGTATTCTTTGTGGGAATAAGTCAAGGTTACAGTGCAGGATATTGTGTGCTGTGCTGACCAGTGCATTATGACATCACTGTGATGATGTAATAACCATATCTCATCACTACAATTACTCACCAGAGTTGTATTGATATTAAGACATATCAAATTGCTCGAGAACGCTCTTGTTTTCATACCTAATCTTTACCTGAAATTGGACATTAGAGGGCGCTACTATTTGCAGGACTAAGTACCGAGGCAGCACAGGGCAGCCTGATGGCTGGATTATTGCCTTTCGTTGGGCTCCTGCTATGTGCCCCTGTATTACTGCTGGCAGAAACACTGGGTAAGTACTTGCAGAGCACGTGTGCAGATTGTGTGATACTTGTACTATTATCTAGTTTGACTGCTGTTAGGATAATGTTATATGTCTAAATAAGTTACCTAGTTTCAGCTCGTTTCAATAGTTCGTAAGGTATAAAATTTGGAGAAAAAGTGTAAATGTCTCTGAATGTAGTATAGCGAAGTACAAAAGACTGTAAATGTAGCAGGAAGTTTACTGGAGCGAAGCAGTGGTCAGTGCATTGGGCTGTAGGAGGGAGTACAGTGTACCGGATTTCATTTACCCTATATATCAGTCTAATGAATGACCAGTTATAGTACATCCCACATAAAACCTTTAAACACATAATGCAAGTTGTTTCTGTTACCAAGTAGGTCAGCCCTCCAAGAATTGTAACATTTAAAGGGACACTACAAGTAGCATAACTACTACAACATACATAATAAAAAATGTTATATGAGAAAAATGTTCAAAAATGGTTTCAAATGCCCTGAGAAACTGAGGAAAAGAAAATTAGCTATACTGCGTTGGTTTATATGCTCCCCCTAGATAGGTGTCTTTTTTTAGAGATCTACCCAGACTATATTTTGTCATTTGCCTTTAAACTATGTATTTATTGTTATTTATACAGTGTGATAACTTATATGCCCCATATTGGCTGGAGAGTGATGGGAGTTGCATTCTATAGCATCTCCAGTGTCTACATTAAGCTAGAATATTAATAATAATAATGGTTAGGGGTATTTTGTGTGTGAATGACTTAAAGGACCACTCTAGGCACCCAGACCACTTCAGCTTAATGAAGTGGTCTGGGTGCCTGGTCCAGCTAGGGTTAACCCTTTTTTTTTTATAAACATAGCAGTTTCAGAGAAACTGCTATGTTTATAAATAGGTTAATCCAGCCTCTAAAACCTCTAGTGGCTGTCTCATTGACAGCCGCTAGAGGCACTTGCGTGCTTCTCACTGTGATTTTCACAGTGAGAAGACGCCTGCGTCCATAGGAAAGCATTATGAATGCTTTCCTATGAGACTGGCTGAATGCGCGTGCAGCTCCTGCCGTGCATGCGCATTCAGCCGAAGAGGAGGAGAAGAGGAGGAGAGCTCCCTGCCCGGCGCTGGAGAAAGAGGTAAGTTTAACCCCTTCCTCTCCCCAGAGCCTGGCGGGAAGGGGTCCCTGAGGGTGGAGGCACCCTCAGGGCACTATAGTGCCAGGAAAACGAGTATGGCCCTTTAAAGTTACAGTGCCCTGACCAGTGTATTATGATATTACTGTGATGATGTAATAACTATCTCATCACTATAATTACTCGCCATTCTGAAGGAGCTTTTGATATTAAGACATATATCAAACTGCTCGTGAACATTCAGGCATTGCTAAGATATTAAAGATAATTACTAATAATAACAACAATCAGGAAGCACTGTTATTCACAGGCTCAAGGATTGAGGCAGCACAGTGCAGCCTAATGGCTGGATTATTGTCTTTCATTGGTGCTCCTGCTATGTGCCCCTCTATCACTACTGGCAGAAACGTTGGGTGTGTACTTGTCGCTTTGCTATGCTGTTCAGCTCAATGCTGAGAGAGAACATGATTTAACCAGCACCGATTTACTTGGAATTGGGCTTCTCCTATGGCCTTTATGCTGAGTATGCGGGCAGCAAACATACAGATTGTGTGATACCTGTGCTACTATCTGATTTGACTGGTGTTGGGATAATGTTACCTGGTCTACTTACTAATATCCGAATCGCGTAATGAACGGGGCATAACCATCCAGTACGAGGCCATTCCTAAATCTGGACATTGGTCACAGTATGTAACAATTTCCAGATCAGGCATTTTAGGCTGAATTCTGCCATTTGGATATAATTTGACTACAGTTTGGTTAGTGAATAACCCTCTCAGTGTCCCACGTTGCTGGTTAAAAAATGATGTGTCTAGTAGACCTTGGTGATGGTTTATGGCTGTTCCCAGGATCCTGTAAAAAATACACCATACATGGACAGTATTGTTATGTGAGTCTGTATTATTTATAAGTGCGCAGTATACACCTTGTCCATTACAGGGTGACACCTCGGATATTCATTATTTTTTTCACAAGGGACATTTCTCTGTTTCCTACAGTGGATGGATGTGGCCACGTGGTCATGAATGATGAGGGTGGAACTCTTACATCAAAAAACTATCCTGAAACATACCCCGACCACTCAGTTTGCCAGATTACCATCAGAGTGCAGAGCAGTAAACAGCTGTACATCAAAGTGGCTGATTTGGACCTGGATATTAACTCTGCATTTCTGAAAATCTACAAGGGTTCATCCACCGAGGAATATGGTGAGTCTCTATTAATTCTACAGTATGGTGGGATGGAAAGCAAATGCTGGGGATTTGGAACGTGTACTGGTTTTATAAAATTGTCACAGTTCATTGGAAATAATTTTTTCAGATTAGGATTAAGTACCAGACGTGATCAGCAGCATTATAGAATACAGTTTATTACAGACGCTATCCATACATATAAAATACAAATGATATTCTGCATATCTAAGCTACTGACACTTCCATATATTATTTCAGTGAGTTACAGTGGAGATCTGAGCAAGGCAAAGACGGACATTTTCTTAGATGATAATACTGCCACCATTTGTTTTGAAAGTGGCCTCCACGTGTCTGGCCGAGGATTTCTGATTAATTATGCCAGCAGTGATCATCCAGGTACTGTGTCTACTAAACTGTAATGTGTGTTACGAAGGATTCAGTTTGTGTCTCGGGGCTCCGTTGTACATGTCATGTCAATATTGTCCGTCACTGATAGGGAGAGCATTAAATTCATAATTCTTTGACAGTAGCTTCAAGATTGACCATACTCTGCAGGCATGAACGCTACTTCTACATTACCTGCAGAAAAATGTGACCCGTGTTGGATCTCTCGGCTATGGCTGTTACTGCTATAGAATGCTGCAAGTTAATTCGTTTTAAATAAATAAGGCTCCTAAGGTGTTAAAATACGTGTGCAGGAATCTCACCCTGCTCCTGTTTTTTATTGATAGATTTCATTACCTGCTTGACTCGCTGTGACTATAAAGAAGACCCAGAGTTCAGGTACGCTTGACTTGTTTTGGCTAATTATACCTTTATAGAAAATGTTGATGTTAAATAACATGTGATCATAGAATATTGTAACACCTTTCTATGGGTCTGCAACAAGCGTTCTGAGATCCCTGTCTTTAGACTTTATGCTTGACAAAGAGAGGATCTCCTGAAAGCTTGATACTCCAAAAATGTCCAATAAAAAACTACACTGATCTAATACTTTACAACAGGGCTGCCCAACAGGTAGATCCCCAGATGTTGCAAAACTACAAGTTGTAGTACTACAACATCTGGTGATCTACCTGTTGGGCACGCCTGCTTTACAAGAATTTGTTTTATGAGAAAATGATGGTAAACGCAGAGAACTATTCACCAACATTGAACTGAAGTGAATCGTCAATCAAACTGTAAAATTATTATTATTATGATATTTATAGAGCGCCGTCAAATTCCGCAGCGCTTTACAATGGGTGGACGAACAAACATGTAGTTGTAACCAGACAAGTTGGACACACAGGAACAGAGGGGTTGAGGGCCCTGCTCAATGAGCTTACATGCTAGAGGGAGTAGGGTAAAGTGACACAAAAAGGTAAGGATAGTATTAGACTAGTGACAGTTGCAGAAGAGGAATCAGTCAGGAGCTATTAACAGTTTAATGGATATGCTTTTATGAAGAAGTGGGTTTTTAACGATTTTTTGAAGGAGTGAAGACTGGGTGAGCATCTAACGGAGGAGGGAAGCGAGTTTCACAGGAACGGTGCAGCCCTCGAGAAATCTTGAAGGCGAGCATCAGAGGTGGGAGTACGGACAGAAGATAGACGTAAGTCTTCAGCAGATCGTAAGGGCCTAGGACGGGACATACTTGTGTATAAGGGAGGATAGATAGGTGGGAGCAGCATTATGTAGCGATTTGAAAGCAAGAACCAGAATTTTAAATTGAGCTCTATATTTTATAGGAAGCCAATGTAGGGACTGACAGAAGGGTGAGGCATGGGAGGTGCGGGCGGACAGGAAGATGAGCCTCGCCGCCGCATTCATTATGGACTGTAACGGCGCTAGTTGGGAGCACGTAAGACCACTGAGAAGCGGATTACAGTAGTCAAGGCGAGAAAGGACAGTGGAATGAACCAACACCTTAGTCGCATCTGGCGTTAAGTAGGGGCGGATGCGCGCAATGTTTTTGAGATGGAAATGACAGGATTTGGCGATAGATTGAACATGAGGCTTGAAGGAGAGGTCGGAGTCAAAGAGAACACCTAGGCAGCGAGCCTGCGTGGTGGAGCTGATGGTAGCACCGTTGACTTGGAGGGAGACAGACACAGGAGTAACAACACTTGAGGGAGGAAAGACCAGAATTTCAGTTTTGGTCAAGTTTAGTTTAAGGAAGTGGGTAAATCAGCTGAGCGAAGAGTGTATGTGAATTGGGGAATCTGAATTTGAATTTAATATGTCAGTGTGATAATATGCCGGTGTATAGTACGAGTATTAAACGTAATCTCTTCTTCTGTGTTTTGATTACCCTTTGTACAGCACTGCGGAGTAAGTTAGCATTTTATAAACAATAACATTATTTCTACAATTTCAGTAACTATTGTCCAGCCGGCTGCTGGGATGTAGCTGGAAACGTATTTGGAGATGTGACTAATGGATACCAAGAGGTGTGTAAACTGAGCTGTGCGAACATTTCTTCCTAGTGCACATTTTTTATTTGGCAAAGTATTAAATCAAAGCATTACTGGTAATTCCTGCCCATAGTTCCATCTGACAGTGACTGGGTCCTGTGTAAAGTCCCCTCGTTTGTGGAATTGGTGTACGATAGTAGTTAGTGGGGAGCTTGACTAACCTTTGAGGACTATCATGAGAAAAAACATCACCAATAGAATAGCACTAAACATTTCTACAAGGGCACTCTAACACCATAACCACCACAGCCCATTATAGTCCTTATGTTGGGAGTCTCCTTGTGCTGAGCCATCGTTAAGATTTAGATTATTTTCACATGGTTAGATAGACACCCAGGTCTACACAGATATCAATAACGTGGACATTTCTATTAATAGTGATCTCAACGTGGTGCTTTTATGAATGGAATTCATTGGCTGAAAATGTCAGCTGGCACACTCGGTCAATGAATTAAGTCTAGATAGGGACACCATTGATATTTGTAAAGAGGAAGGTGACCCTGCTTTAGCTGTAATATATCTGTGAAGAGTATAGAACCCTGGGTGCGGAGCAGTGGGGGAGTCCGTCCTGAGTCACAGACCTTCCTTCTTCCACCTGTCACTCTGCGTTGAGTGGGATTGTGGACTGTGGTAGAGGAGCTTCATTACCCTCTTCCCAATGGGTGAAAGCAGCTGTCCGCACGCTGGCCATAGAACAGATATCTGTTTTAGGAAATGTAGGCTGTTCAGACATTATTATTTTTCTGAAAACTGATAAATAGTCAACAGAAACAAATTAACTACATCAGTTTTACCTTGCGTTGTAATAAGAAGGAATTATTGTCATCAGCTGATCTAACTCTCATCACTCCAGGCAGCCCAGCAGTGTCATTCACAGTATCTCAGTGGGAATTACAACTATCGCATACTACGTGGTGTGATATTACACTGTGCAATATAGAATTTCAAAAGATGATCTTTCCTTTAAAATGCCAGTTTCGTGATAGAGTAATTACTTTAATTACCCAAACTAACACATCACACATATTACAGGAGGGATCCAAGTATCAATACGTACTAATAATAATGACTTCATTTCAAGGCTTGTTTACTATCAATCTGTGTTAATATTACAGACATTAATACATTTGACAGATATTAAGCTTTCTCTTTTTATTTCTTTGCAGTCGTCCTTGGTTTGCAAATTGGCTGTCCATGCCGGCGTTATCGCAGACAATCTGGGTGGTCAGGTTCTTATAACTCGATTACAACGCACATTCCAATTGAAAGGGATGGTGACCAGTCAGATTTTACCAAAAGGGTAAGTTGGAATTATTGTGCTATTAAATAAATGATTATTTATACACAATATCCTTATTTAGAGCAGATTGTGAAATTCCTATTGGACAGGTGATGCTAGCTTCTCACTGATTGGTTGTGTGTGATTGATTAGCCGGAGAAGCCGGCCCGGCTACCCTAAGAGACCTAATGTGGGCTGTAGAATCCTCCATGTTCACCATAGCCCATATGTTCATGCTACAGGGACACAATCCATATATATTTCATAACTTGAGGGCTGTCAAATCAAGTTCATTTATATTAACCCCTTAAAAAGAGAGGTTTAAATATACGGGTTTATATGATGACACACCTGAGGATTGGGTTTATTTATTTAATTGAACTTATTACTGCTGGACAAAAATGCTTTTAAATATCTGGAAATAACAGCAAAGCACAGCCTGTAGTTTATTTTGATGTTTGGTCCAGACCTATCCTGCTATAATAAAGGATTCTTTACCTACCTCATTTCTAAAAGGAGCTTTTAAAATTTGATTTATGTTTTTGCAGTGTCTCCGATTCAAATGTCCAGTTTATGTTCAACAATCCAGGTAAGAAAAATACCTTGTTAATGACCGTGAAATGTGCTTAAAGAGACACTCCAAGCTGCATGTGGACGATGTTTAATCTTTATATAAATACTGCATTACAATATGTACAATAAAAAATAAGATACTGATCTTAAAGAAACACGGTAACGTTAGGAATATTTATAACTATATGTATAAAATATGTATTCCTGGCAGTATATTGTCCCAGTCACAGCTTAGGTGGTCAGGGCAGCACTGCCAGGGTTAACACAGGCTTTTTATTTATCATTTCTCCCTTGTAGCTCTGCTTTCCTCAATGTAGCTCTAATTTCCGTAGGAAAGTATTGGGGGGGCTAGTGCAAATGTGCAGCAAAACGGTACGCTGCACCAATCAGATGGTTTCTCTTAGACAATCTGATTATAACTGCACAGTGGGGACTTTGTGGATTCTCAGTCACCTCAGGGGGACTTAGCCACGAATGTTATGGAATAGTTTTCGGCATGAGGTGACCATGTGTTTTCTGGACAACTTGGATCGCGGTTTTGAACCACTTTGAAATCCGCCAGGAGAGCGCTTTTTGGAGGGAAGGTGCCTGAGACTAAAGGGAACAAATGCTACCTAAGAGCCAGACGGACCATCCTGTATTGTGGCCTTAGGAGCTCACAAAAGTTGACCGGCAAAAGCACCAAATGCCCTGAAACTATTTGGGGTATAGGACCACGTGTGTGGCCGGTCAGAACTTTAACACGGTGGCGTTTCCCCTACACTGCATGGGTTATTTAACAATGTATTGTTTGTGGGGTTATTTTATGTTTTTATTATGTTTTGGGGTATTTTTATGGTTTAAATGTTTAGGTTTGCCTCTCTGTTCCTGGAAGATAATTAGCTTACCGGTCTTTAACACAATTATCTCCCAGGCCTAGAGATTGGCTGTGTTTGGATGCATTAAACAAGTTGACTCCCAGAACTATGTGTCATCTAGTTACTGGGAGGGGAAGGGCAATAATCACTGCTTAGCACCTTGTTCCAGCTCGTGGAGGATTCGGCAGTGAAAGTCCTTATGAGAACTAGAGCTCCCAGGACTGTGTGTCGTCCAGTCCCTGGGAGGGAATAGAGCTAGTCCCCTATCCTGCTCCAAAAGGACCCCAGTCAAGCCACAGCGACTGGGGCAGAAGCCCTGGGGTTTTACCTTGTTCCAGCTAGGAAGCGGTCCTTGGCAGAGATACCCAGTCAGGGTACAGGGAGCTCCGCTACAATGTAGTTAAGCTCTTGGCAGCAGTTCCATTAATTGGGCCACATTGATGGAACTACTTAGCAAGTTTATAGCATCCACGGGAAGTTCTACACATGGAGTTATATACTGGGATCGCTCCATTGTGTGCATGCGCTCAGCAATGGCTCGGGCTCTCTCCCAGGGTGTGTCAATAAAGGGAACTCATTTAAATGAGAGAGTCTGATAATATCTGTTTTCAGCCTGTATTGATGATTTAACTGGGAAGTAGAGAAAGCAGGCAAAAGTTCCATGTGTGCAAACAGTTATTTACTTGATCTTCTCCTCTGCAGGATACATTTCATCTACGCATCCTACATGGACAGATACAAAAATGGGAGAGTTCACCAAAGACCAGATAGCTACTGATAAAAACAAAGCAGGTGAGGATCTCACATTAGTGTTTGGATATCACAATTTTCCTTTTAAATGAGCACGGCATATAATAGTTACTAGCCACAGGCCTGGCTTTATAAAAGACCAAAAGATTTCATAAACAGCACGTGGACTTGTTCATTCCAAAACTTAGTTCCAAGAAGCCAGATGTTCAGGAGGACTTAATACAGGCACAATGGGACCAGAGCATGTATGTAAAATGAAAATGTACTTAAAGTGAAGCAATATCTTTTTTCACTTCCCAATGCATGTATGGCATTGCAGTAGTAATTTACAGACATAACTGATATAAATAATGCATTGATAACTAAAATACATTTCAATGGTCAATCTTAAGTTCCTCAGGGAACCAGTAGTACTGTACAGTAATACTGTAATGTGTTAGGGCTACTCTTACATTTTTAGGATATTAGAGAAGAACTAGGTTTTTATTCTTTTTTTTTTGTTGTGCAAAAGTTTGACAGACATGCATATATTGCCACAGCAACAAATACAGGCATTGTGGGTACTTATAATCAAACTATGTGGAGATAGCATTTTCATGCAGGAGTAATTGCTAGGCATGGTTATAGCTGGTTATGAGCAGTAGGGAACATGCTAACTTATTTTGACTGGCTTATACACATATTGTAGCAAAAATGAGGATGAGATAAAAATTAAAGCATAATGTCCACTGAGACTAGATGCAGTCCTGGGCTGGTAGCATTACTTGTGTGATTGTTAAGGGCTGGAAGTTAAAAGAAAATACAAAACAAAGCCAGCAATATGACCCTGGGGTAGCACTCCTATCAGGGAGCATACAGAGGAGGGATAAAGGCTGAGCCATTGGGGTTTTTGCTCGTCCCCTTGCAGCAGGTGGGGGTATGCTCAGTATCAGGGATTGTCTCTGCCTGGGACTACTTAGCCGATGCCTGCTAATAGTAGGATGTCACCCCCAGGGAACAAGGGTCCGCCACTCTGTAGGTGAGGGCCGCTCCGGTCTCGAGCGCCCTTGTGTTCTTGGTCAACACCGACTGAAATGCCGTCCAGTCTTGTAGCCTGATCTTGTCCTCTGGGTCTCTGCAGTGCTCTGGATCTGTATTGCCATGCGTGCACTCTCCAACGGAGTGGTGTGCGGGTGTGTGTGTTGCTCCCACCTGAGTGACGTGTGGAGGAGCTGCAGCGAGGCTGTAGGATGGGTGTTCGGTGTTGGCGTGCGGCTTGGTGTCGGGAGGTTCCGCCGGCTGGCCCGTCGGCAAGATGGGCACGATTTTGTGTGGGTGCTGAACCGGTAAGCTGCAGCCGTGGCCTCCCTCCCCCTCATAGCAGGTGGATCAGGATGAGTGGCTTTGTGCTCCATATGCTGCCAGAATTCCTGGCATGGTCGATCAAAGTGAGCCTCAAAGTGTTCTCTCCAGGTCTGGACTGTGGGGCATGCTTGATGCTGCAGAAGTTGTTGCCATTTTGGGCCCGAACTGCCACCTCCGCTCCGGCAGACCAGCCTCTTGTGGTAAGTTTGTGGGATTCCCCAGTGGGGACCGGGATGACCCCCACCGGCACTTTAACGTACACTCGTGGGTACGCAAAGTGAGGGTCTGCAAAGCGGGGTATGCCTGTACACAAAGTTCTATGTTTCTGTAGTATCCTACCAGCAGAGGTCCCAGACAGTAAAACAAGAAATCACGCTTCTTGTTAGAATGAAAATCAATGATTTGCTTTTTGTAAAAATTTTCACTAATTGTAAACTTTGTAATAATAAGTGAATTTCTAACATCATGTTTGTTTAATTCTAGGATTTCCAGTCTTTGTTCTTGTCATGGCAGTTACACCGATTGTGTTTCTAATTGGAGGTGTGATTACCATGTGTATGTTGCTAAGGTATGTGTTTCACCATATATAAACCATATATAAAAATATATGTATAAATCTCTGCATTACAGTGTTAAATAAAGAGATGTAGGTTTAATTTACCAGAGTTTGACGTGTTTAGAATTGGCATTGCAGCAAAGTTATGCAAGAAGTTAAATTTTCTGACTGTAGTAACTTTTGCCCTGACGCCAAATAGTAAAGAGGTGAGAGGTCACCAGCGCCGAGGGCGCCCGGGGCTGGAATAAAGTAAGCAGCCAAATAGGTTTTAACCCCTTCAGCGCCAAGGGTTGGGGGCACCCTCAGGGCACTATAGTGTCAGGAAAACTGCTATCTTTCTGTGCCAAAGTGGAGATATGGGAAATACACCTCTCTCTTCTGCGGCACTGAAAGTGATATAAAACAGTTTAAACAGTTTTAATAAGAGGTTATAAAACAGATCCCATGTACTACCACACATTGAGATAGCCAGTCACGTCTCTGAGTTGTCATCAAGTAGTTTAATAAATAATAATTCTGGGGTTTGTTCACATTTTGTGCCAATGAGGACGGCAATGCATCGAGCTGCTACAAACTGTAAAACTGAATGGATCAATCGTGGGTTCTCAAAGACTTCAGCTTGTATTTTTTTTAAACTGTTTTGCCACAATTATAGCTACAAACAGCAATGGGGCTGTTAGCAGCTTTAATTTAAAGGCTTTACGTCATCAGTTATGTTTCAGGCATAACTGATATAGTGATAGCCAGAAGTATTCAAATATCATTACTTTTCATTATCTTTATTTTAAATGAGGACTAAAAGTGGTAAAGCTAGCAAGTGCCAAAAGTGAATATGTTGGGAAATCGCAAAAAACATTTTTTGCACATATCTGGCACTTACAATGTTTACGATTTTACACGCTCTTTTGAACTACTTGGAGGACTATCAGGCACTTTTCACGTTTACCACATTATAAAGCATTGCTCATTTGACACTTAAACGTGGAAAATGGTGCTTTAATTTTTTTTGGCACTTACATCATTTACCACTTTTAGTCTTCAATTATCAATCCAGACTGACTAAGAGCTCAGAAACATAAAACAAGTTGGCTCTGTGTTAAGGTTGATCAGCAGACAAGAAACTAAACTGGGAATTGCAAAATTGGGGGAAAAAAATGCTGAATTGGAACATGTATCCCACTCAGCTATTTGTCCAGCTCGGCTGTATTGTGCTAGAAAGTACAATTCTTGGGTCAATTCCCAGACTAGTGAATAACACTCAATCACTAAATTTGATTTATAAACCACCAGATGATCCTTGGCTCACAGCCCTGACGCAAATAGATCCATTTTTTATGTTTATAAACATAGGTGGCAGAAAGCACATTTTCTTTCCTTTCCTGTTGAAAGCCAACAAATCCTTTGTAGATATATGATAAGTGCATATCTATTTTATCACATGTGGACTATTGTGTTTATAAGGTAATACTATGTACACAATGCTTTCCAAAGAGTAAGGAAAGTTGCATTGATGGATGCTGATAATTTAAATGTGAATTTTCATTAATTACAGGAAAAGAAGAGACTCTGGTGATTACATAGAAACAGGTAAGTACAGATTATGTGTAATGTTGCTTGTCTGGACAAAGATTACAGAAAAAGATCAAATATATTGTCTGTTTCCTGCAGGAGTCTGTATGCAACTAAAGTCATTTGGAAGAAAGGAATTGACAGAATCTAATCTCAGCTTCGAGAATGAGGATAAAAAGTATAAAAGGCCAACACCACATGTCTCTCTTCTGGATCCTCAATATTCTCATCGTCTCCCCATGATTGATCCTGGCTTCCTGATAAGAAAGGCGCCCACCACCAAGTACATAGATAAAGTTATCAAGGATTCTTGTGGAAGTGGGAAGACTGAGAGCCTCGCTCATAATCAGTCAAGTCACAGTAGAAATGACAATGCAACGTGCGTCACGTCCTCTGTGCCTCAATATGAAAAGCCATGCTTAGAAGACGATGCAAAAAGAAAACTAGTATATACTGACTACAGATTCCCTTCAGATTATCCTAGTCGTCATCACCATCTTCCTATTGATTATTGCCAACTTCAATGTCCTCAATATCATCTTCTTCATCATCTTCCTAAACAGCATCATCCTCATCCCCATTTTCGTGATCATCCCTCCCATCTTTATCATTTTTATCCCCAAATTCCTGTTCGTCCTCTTTCTCCAACTCATCATCATGATGTCCACTAGTTCAGAGACCAGATGTGATGATCCCCCCTCACCGAGTTCAGTAGATCTCCCGTGACATAGATACACCAGTGTACATACCAAGTGACTCGTGTGACCACTGAACATTGAATACAATAAAGGTGATTATTTGCATTACTTGTGGCTTTTTGAACAGTATTAGTGTGAAAGAGCAAAACACTATATAAAAAGCACTAGGATTGGTGCAATCCAGTCTTTGGAAGGTGGGATGAAGAAAAAAAAAACATAACTTAAAATAAAACAACGTATAATAATAAAAAGATATCTTGTATCCATTCCTCAGACACCTAATTAGTCACATTGTATATACACTAAAGCACACTTTATCTCTCACACATTATATTGCTTTCAGGCAACCTAATGTTTGTCCTCTTTTTATTGTTATAAAATATTAGTGCATTCTTTTTTCTTTGTCTGTGCTTAATCCGACCTACCTAAGACTTGATTGCACCAATCCTAGTTTTTTTTATATAGTATTTTGAGGTTTAATTTTGGGCTTATGCCAGTTATGGGCTTGAGGGGACATGGACTTTCTCCTTCTTTTCTGATTATTTTGATACTTACTGCTGTATTTAGCACCCATTTGTAGTCTCTACTCCATTTTCCTGTACTTGGAAAATGGATAATGGCTGATTTCCTGTAGGCTAAGAATGATCCAAATACATGGTGGCATGATGTTCAAGTGAGTTCATTTTTTCTGAGAGTCCTTCTGCTACCACTTCACCTAATACAGGGACCGCTTTTAACACTCTAATCAAGTTGTTTAATTATTATTATTGTCATTTATATAGCGCCAACAGATTCCATAGCGCTTTACAATATTATGAGAGGGGGGATTTAACTATAAATAGGACAATTACAAGAAAACTTACAGGAACGATAGGTTGAAGAGGACCCTGCTCAAACGAGCTTACAGTCTATATAGAGGTGGGGTGTAAAACACAATAGGACAGGAAATAGCAATCAAACAAGGTGGAAGTGAAGAGGATCTTGAGGAGAGAGTAGAGTGCTGCCCTTTTGGAGAGAGCAAGAGACGGGTATGTGAGTTAGAGGTTAGTCTGGGAGGCCATAAGCTTTCCTAAAGAGATGGGTTTTAAGGCATTTCTTAAACGGTTGAAGACTATGGGAGAGTCTGATGGCGGTAGGCAGGCTGTTCCACAGGAAGGGAGCCGCCCGCGAGAAGTCCTGCAACTGTGAGTTGGCCGTACGGGTGCGAGCAGCGGACAGGAGAAGGTCACGGGCAGAGCATAGAGACCGAGAAGGGACATACCTATGGATCTGTGAAGAGATATAAGAGGAGAATTGTTCAGTGCTTTATATATATGGGTTAGCACTTTGAATTGACTCCTATAGGATAGAGGAAGCCAATGTGGACTGACAGAGGGGTGAGGTGTGAGAGGACCTACTAAAGAGGAAAATCAGTCTGGCGGCAGCATTTGTATCAGACTGTAGCGGGCAATATAGCTTTTGGGAAGATCAATTAGGAGAGGGTTACAATAATCCATGTGGGAAATTACTAGAGCATGGCCAAGCTCCTTGGTAGTATCTTGCGTAAGAAAGGGGCGGATGCGGGCTATGTTTTTAAGATGGAATCTACGGGATTTGGCAACATACTGGATGTGAGTCTCAAAGGTGAGGCTAGAATCAAGTATGATGCCATGACAGCGCGCTTGCAAGGATGGACTTATGTGGATACCACTAACTTAAAGGGAGAGGAGGAAAGACAAGGAGCTCAGTTTAGAGCGATTGAGTTTCAGAAAGCGGGTGGACATCTAGTCAGAGACACTGAATGAGCGTTGGGAGAGATAAGAGGAAAACCACGAGAGGACAGAGTCACAGAGACCTAGTTGTAACGGCTACCCTGGTATGGTGAGGGTACCAGCCGTTGGGGACGTCCTTTTCTTCCCGGCAAGTCGCTGTGTAGTGATGGAGTCGCCTATTCCCTTCTGCTGGATCAGGAGTGGAAGCCAAGTACAGCTCTGAAAAGAGCTAAGTGATTAAGCTGCATAGATTCCCCTTTCAAGAACGAGACGAGTTTTGAAGGGTCAAGAAGAACTGAGGGTTTATTGACAGACACTCTCTTTTATGCGATTCTGCCCATGCAAGGGAGACACCCACATAATTAGCAGTATAACCAATCCATACAATATACATTCTGTACATCCCCTCCCCTTAGATAACTAAATAACACAATTAAAAAGGAACATATTTTCCCCAAAGTTCGGATGTACCCCAAATACTTGTATTTCTGGTACTAACATATTTAAAAATCAGCCCATTCGGTTCAGCCGTTCGGGAGATATGGGACTTCGAAGTTTTGACCGACTGCACGGGCACAGTAGCCGAAAACAGTTCCATGAATGCTGGCCCTGGAGTCGGTCTAAGATCGTGGGTAAAAACACCCGAACGACCGGCCATCCGTATGCCATCCTGGGTTCGCTGAAATCCCCATCTGTTGCTGATTCTTTCTACCGAACGCCTGGTCGTTCGGTAGTTTTGGCAAGGTTTTCCCGAAGGTATGGAGGTCTCAGCGGTGTTCGCCTGTTTGAGTGTCCGATTTTAGTTCCAGACACTCGACGGCAAACACCGCTGTTCGGGAGTTAAAATGGCCGCGAACACGTGGAAGTCCCGAAATGGCGGCTGAGCTTACAGCTTCCATAGCGTTCGTGCGGTCTTTCAACAAAAGTGCCCATCAAGCAGGGAGCTAAATTAGTCTCAATTAACAGTCAGGGTGGCCTGTTAGAGGTAGGTAAGCATTCGCATGGAGAATGCTTGCAAAGTTCCGAACTGCCTTGTAATCCATAGGTCTTTTCCAGGCAAACTGTACTTTTTGTTACACTAGTGATTGAAGAGTTTGAAGAAAGAGAGCTTGATCAACTGTGTCAAAGGCAGCCAAGAGATCAAGAAGAATTAGTATGGAGTAGGGGCCTTTGGATTTAGCTGCAATTAGGTCGTTAGTAACTTTGATAAGAGCAGTCTTAGTAGAGTGGAGGGGGCGGAAGCCAGATTGAAGAGGGTCAAGGTGAGAGTTGGAATTGTGGAAGTGAGACATACGGGTAAAGACAAGTCTTTCCAGAAGCTTTGAGGAAAAAGGTAGCAAGGATATGGGACGATAGTTAGAGGGGGAGGACACGTCGAGAGATGTTTTTTTTCAGAATAGGTACTACAGTGGCATGTTTAAGGTCAGCAGGGACAACGCCAGAAGAGAGAGAGCAGTTGCAGATGTGTGTTAAGGAAGGCACAAGACAAGGGGAGAGAGATCTGATAAGGAACAAAGTAAATCAGTTGGGAAATTTACACATTGCTAAATTATCTCAAAAAGGATATGATACCGAGAGTAGCGTCAGCCAGTCAAATTGAACAGACAGAAGGAATTGAAGGAGGCTGAGACCGCGTGCTCTAATAAAATTAATGATTATAATTTGTAAATATGAGCTCTGAAACCTACGACTTTGTTACAAGTGCTAGATAAAGTGCAAATATTTAGGAGTGACCCTTCATTTAATACAAATAAAGTGAGATTAAACAATAATTTGTATAAGATTAAAACATTATTTGGATAGATTTACCAGTTAAGATCAAAAAACATCAGAAATTCTTACGAGATAACTAAGAAGTCAGTATGTGTCTACCATAGGTTTAAACATACCACCAGACTAAACTCTGATCATTACGCTACTTTGGAATATGACACGTCAGACACAGACTAAGACCTACCACAGTCACAAGAACTCCCCACACCGATCGCCCCACCCAAAACATCCTGAAGAAAGGGGTTTATTTTTTAGGGCTGATACAACCAGAGGTGTTCCAGGGACCGCAAACAAGACAGAAGTTCAGAATAGGGAGAAGGCGGATTCCAGTTTAAGAGCTATCCATCTGTCCCCACTAACACTATCCCATGTTTGAGTTGACATAAGATATCCACTTATTTTCCACACACTAGCTCTTCACAAATATAATTTCACATGTAATGAAAATAAGGCCAAAACTATGGGCCTAACAATATGAGACTATGACTGCTTACAAACTCTGCTGGATCTTATGGATCTCAGCAAAGGCACAATCAGCCCCAATCTACCCAACATTAGTTTATGCACACGTAGTGCCTTTGCACCAGACCCCAAAGATTTCCACAACATTAAAGTCTTTGTGAATCTGTTACGAGAAATGAATCGTTGTAGCCTAACAAAATTGATTACTAATCATTAAAGGGAATCTGACACATGGAGAGTTCTCTGCTTTGAGGGAAATTTAGTATAACTCTGATATTGTCACTAAACCTTCTGAGGGGTCAACATCATGGTTATGAATCAGAAGAAATATATTGATATGGCCAAAAAATTATTAAATCACCCATTTATATATCACATATTGAAAAAAGAGCCTACCGTTCAATATCTTTATGAGTTGAATGTTCTGCTGTCTGGTGCCTTTGTGTAATACTTATTTTTTAATTGGAACTCAACTGCAGAATTTTCTGATTGCAGCAACAATAAGTTTCACCTCCTTTTATACTGATATGAAACAATGGTTACTGTATCTTTAAATACACATGCAGGGAAATAGGCAGTGCTAGTTTCCAACTTAATTAAGATGGAATAAATTATGAGAAATTTATTAAGGAAGCTGGACAGGCTTGCAATTAGAATAAGTTGATTATTGCAGGAAGAATTAGCCTTAGTAGCAATCCCTTATGAATAAGAGGAATAGCTTGACAAAGTGACACTTTAGTGAGCTTTAGATACTGTGTAACATAAATAGGAATTGGCTTGTTTGGCAAAAGTTTTACTTAACTTAAAGGCAGTTCTGGTACTGGAAGGGTTAATTCACCCAATGGAGGAGAAATTAGAAGTCCGTTTTAAAAGCCGAGAACTAGGAGTGGAGAGTGTGGAAGTCCGTTTTAACAAGCCGAGGTCTGGGAGTGGAGCAGGTAGGATCAAAGTAGAGCAGCTGATCTCTCTGCAGCACCTGTGCGAATAATCCAGCCCTTTGAATCTGGCGCGGTCTTCCTAAGTATCGTGGAGGGACCGCGTCAGAAAAAAGGGGCGGGGCTAAGCGCCGTGAACCCGGAAGTGGGTTCCGACGGCGAAATACATGCCATGCTATACCTGACACTTTGATGATAAACTGGTTAACAGGGACAAACTTTCATTTTTCTGAACCAGAGACCCATCAACTCAATTTTCTATTGTCTACTTAAGGTCTACAGAAAGTTGTTGGAACCCTCAGGTAGACCAATAGTTTCAGGCACTAGCAAAAAACTGTTTCATTCAGTAGCATTATAATGGAATGAGACGGCTGTTTCATAGTTACATAGTTACATAGCTGAAAAGAGACTTGCGTCCATCAAGTTCAGCTTTCCTCACATTTGTTTTTTGCTGTTGATCCAAAAGAAGGCAAAAAAGCCCAGTTTGAAGCACTTCCAATTGCAACAAACTAGGAGAAAAATTATTTATTGACCCCAGAATGGTAGTCAGATTTATCCTTGGATCAAGCAGTTATTACCCTATATTGAAATTTTATATCCTTGAATATTCTGTTTTTGCAAGTATGCATCTAGTTGCTGTTTGAACATCTGTATGGACTCTAGTTTCATTTTTACATAAAATAAAAAACATACATTTATAATACTTACCTGTCATCATCCCCCTAATTCCACGCCCCCTAGATGTATACAGTCTTCTCAGGTAAAGGAAGAGTGCATACCACACTTGCTCAACCTTGGCTGATCCGGTTACGCAAGCACTATCAAAAGGAGATCAGAAGAGTTCTAATTGCATAAAAGTGCAAATTGCTAAATTGTAGAGAAAAAAACAGTATCAATAAAAGTTCTATTTGAACATATTACATTCATCCAAGTGACACCATATAATTTCATATCCATATTGTTTTACAAATGCCCAGGGGACCAAAGGTTCCTAAGGAAGAAATTCTTAGACTTATTGTAGGGAAAACATTTTGAAAAAGTTAGTAAAATTGCTTTGCCATCAGCAAAGGTATGGGAAGAGATTAAATCTTAATTGTGACCAAGACCTTAGTTTGGAATGTGCAGACGAAACAGGACCCTGACCAGACAGTAAAAGATGGAACTGATAAGAGCACCTCCAACTCTGAGCACTGTGAGTCACATGGAATTATTGAAAAATTCACAGCTCCTGTAAAGAATGTATTCACTATCACAAAAAAAGAAAAAAGAAAAAAACAATGGCTAAACAGTAACAGCGAACTGTGAGACAAACATTTGTTGGAGGTATCTCACCTGTAAAGACATCAGATATATTGAAGGCCACAACTATGAGGTCTTAAGACACGGTTCATGGACTCATATAATCCATGAAACCATCTAGGTTTCAAAAGAATATCTATGTACATGGGTTTTTAAGAGGGCAATCGGGGGCAAAGTACATGAAAATTCACAGCTCCTAAAAACAAACAAAGACCAAACAGCAACACTGAATTGTGAAGTATATAAACGTGAATATCACGTCAGGCAAATAGAAAGTCAGGAAATTTATGTGTGAGTGTGTGAGAGCAAGAAACAGCCAAATACATGGCTTGCCTCTGAATTTCTATGGCTTATTAAAGTTAAACAAGAACAAAGAATTCGGGAAGTTTGTGATAAAGACCTAACATCTGTCCTTTACATAAAATACCTCCCTCCCTATTATGGCAGTGTGTATGACATTGGACTTGACAAATGATTTCTCCACTATTGGTCAACATCACAAATGTGTATATACAAAACCCCGTCTAGACATTATTCCAGTGTTGCTCCATTTGATGTCACTAATTTACTTGTCAAAAAAAGGAAACGTTCATAAGGTCAGTGTCCATTTCTTTTATGGCTTTCATCTTTATTTTCAATACATTTAGTTATTTTTAACTATATCTGGACCTTCCTGAATTTATCCAGAAGATTTTATTCAGAAGATCCTTACATCATATTCCTTGGCGGTGAACATACCACCCAAGCTATAAGGATTGAGCAAAACCCATTGATGCTCTCCACTAGTGAGTATATCTCCTTTTATCGCCCATATTTATTTTACTACAGAGAGCGCTGTATATAATTTTATTCTTTTATATATGTTGAATATCATGGTGACCCTTTGCTGCTATACTCCTGGGCACTGACAAGCGCAAATGCTGAATACCTCGAGATAGGGAGCTCATACCACACCAGCTACACGAAACAACTATCGACCGGAAAGACTACCACACGCAATATCAAGATATTCCACAGGTCCATAGTCGGGGATTATACCTCCGAGCGCATATATTTGGAGCTAATTACTAGCTCCAAAAAATTGTAAGAGCTTTTCCTTTTATTGATCTCACCAACTATCTGAAAATACTACACCATATTTTGTTTTTTCCCCCCTGTTTTGCAAATTGTATTATCCTGATTGGATTTTGAGGATAATTTTAAAACTCTAATATATTGGTGTTTTTACTTTCACCCTGGATTGTGATTTTTTTTAAGCACATACGTGTACACCACACAGTTTTTGTTTTATATTACATGTGTTATTACAGTGTTTTGGAGTTAACCGGTGTGTTGGTGGCATTTTAGGTTATCACTATTATATTTTTAATTATGAAGGCGTACTAATACCTGGAAGTACAGAGGAAATCACGAAGATCTAAGTAGTTCAAATGCTCCCCGATAAGCAAGAGATCTATGCAATAAAATTTTTGACAAAATAATGGAGACATGCATGTACTTCTCTGGAAAAAGAAACAGTATGTGATTTTCCCTGGCTTTACTTGGTGCCATAGGTCAGGCTTTTAACAATACACAAACACCATGACATACATTAACCATTGCTTTGGAGTGTTAATGGAAAAGAGTCTTACAAACGGCCCCCATGCTTCGTCAGAGTTGATGTCGCTCATTGTGTCAAGGCAGGCATGTCAAAGAATATTACATAAGGGCTGTAGCACAGATCATTATGTCTCCGTCCCTTGCGGATGCCGTAGATCTCATGAAGGCGATTCTTGTAGTCGCTTTAATTGAAGCCGAAGGCTGTGATGAAGGGGAAAAGTCACAAATGTCAGCGTCGTGCAAAATCTTCTTCAAGAAACGAATTGCTGAAGAATGTGTGCCTTTGCCCACTGAATAATCTAAAAAGGAAACTGACATTCTAGAATCCAAAGAAAAACCTGACGAATAGTAGATCCCTTACGTGATGATTGCAAGTTGTTTGCTGCTGACAATGGTGACAAAGACAATTTATATTTTTTACCTGAAATTGTTCTTCATATCACATGGCTTTGTTGTTATCTGCCACTCTGGACAGGACTACTGGTTCCTTTATTTAAAACGTATATTTGTCATTGTAAGTTCTGCTAGTGTTGAGGCTACGTTTAAGAGTCTGAAACCCTGCCAATCGTTGCTGACAAGTTTCTTATCCCCCACTTAACATTTATAGAAGGACGAATGAGAATATGAGCTGCAAAATACAAGGTATCCCAGATATTCCCACCCCCAGTCTCTGATGATACTGTCAAAGCTGAGACTGGTCCAGAAAGACATGAGTTAATTTACCCAACAGATTTTGTGGAAAATTGGAGAGAACTTGCTGTGCCACCAAAATAACCAACAATTCGCCAGAGATTTTCTATGGGGAACAACTTCTCTTTAAGAGGGGTTATTGCATTTTGCCAGCTATCAGAAGCTCTCTGGGCCATTACATTATCTACTGTTAGAGGTCTGGTTTCTCCTGGGAAGTCTATGACAAATCTACTGTGCAAATGGCATGGCAGTGGTGAATTTTCATACTAAGATCTGCCTTCATGTTGTTCTATAGACATGAGTTAGCAGCTTGTAGTTCACAATGACTGTTTCATAAGTATAAGGCAGCAGAGTACAATAACACATAACCAACCCAATAGACATGTGCATTCATATTCTGACGACAAACTTGAAGAAAAGGTGGCAACCCTATAAGTCAGTCCATATTACCCTATCTGCTGTCTCTGTATTGTGGGTATGATTGAACCCTGTTAGTGGAATTCCTATAATTCCCTCTCATTCTCTGGTTGTACCACTAGATAAGAATAAAAAAAAAATAGATATTAATCTAATGTTGAGCAAATAAAATGTGAAGTAAGACAACAAAAAACATGTCTTAACACCAGTTCCATTGCAGCAGTTGTGCAGTTAGCCCTGTATATTAAGACGGAGACTATAGTGACACTTTTTCTCAACCAATCAATACAGTCCACCTGAAAACAACATTTTGTAACAGACAGCTGAACAAACTTACAATGCTGATTACACAAATGAAAGGTCTGAAAGAAATAACCAGTGATAACACGTAATATACCGGTATACAGTATCCGTCATTTAAAATTACATTAGTAATGAATACCAAAAGTCGCTTATACTGCAAACACATTTTACAAAAACATGGGGGAAAACTACAGCATATAAGCCAAAACATCTTAGAATAAAGTTAATAAATAATCGTTGACATATCAAAAACTGAAAGAGACAGAACGGATAGTTAAACGGCACAAACGTGGCACTAATCAATCAACCTGGTTTTAATTCCCTGGGCTGTGCTTGGGCTGGGTGATCTTTTGTGATCTTTACTATTTCAGTATCAATAATAGATAGAGCGATTTTTTTTTAAATGTGAGAAACAGGTGCATACACAACCCTCGCAAATCAGTCAGGTTTAGGCAAAATCGGAATCAACTTGGGTGCCGGGTTACATGATTTCCCCTGAAAAAAACAGACTGTTAGAGCTAAAAAAAAACAAATCAGCACAAATAAATATTTTAACGGCAAAAATTAATAGTTTCTTTGTTTTAAAATGTAATAATGTGGGGTGCAAGACAGGCAGAGGCTGATCATATTTAATGAGCCATATTTTCAAAATAATGCTGTCACAGACAATCATCACAAATATAGCACAAACAAATAGTATAGCTGCTTTTAAAATATTTGCTTTTAATAACACGGATTATATAGTGGGAGGGGTTTGATAAAATATAATGCTTAATATCTCCGAAACCAAACAGGCACAATGTCTTTAGGTCCAACAGTACATCTACCCATTCATAATACAGGTCTCCACAGCCAACAATACATCTCCCCATTCCCAATGTATCTCTCCATATTCAGCAGTACACCTCTACCACCCCAATACATGTTTCCACATCCAAACAAAAAATATGAGTGTTGTCAGCATACATATGGTAATGAAATCCAAAAGAGCTAATAAGTTTACCATATGGGGCAGTATAAATAGAAAAAAAACAGAGCAGAGGGTCAAGAACAGAGCTTTGAGGGCCTTCAGCTGAGATGGATAGTGGGGATGAGGTGGCGCTAAGAAATGTGATGTTAAATGTGTGTTGGGAGAGATAAGATGAGAACCAGGAAAGGCCAGCGCTGGCCAAGGATCCAGACTGTTTAATGAATGAGCAAGTGATACATTAAATTGTTTTGGAAATTCACATCTCTTTTAGATTATAGAATTAAATCTACAAGTTTGCATTGGAATGAGCCGGAGCATGAACCATCAGAGCTCGTGGAAGGCACACATCATAGGATCAAACCAACATTTAAATCAAAGTTGACTGGATTTTCTATGTGAAAATATAATCTTAATTCCTTGGAGAGGTTTTATTTATGCTCAACCATCTCTCCCTAGAGTCTATTTCATGCTTTCCCAAATATATTTGGCATTGCTCCATATGCTCCATGTACATAAATAACACTATATTCTTCCCATAAACATTTTGAAAACTAATTTAGAAATATGTTTGAACTCTCTATAAACAGCAAATGCAACTAAACCATAGCTGTTCATTGTTCTGATAGATATGAGAGGCTTGGTGGAGATATCATCACCAGTGGCTGTAGTGGGTAAATGAAAAGGGGGAGAAGTCTGATGAGAGTTGATGTTTGATAAGACAGATTTTAGGAATGCACACAACTCTACGACAATGCTGGCATCTTTAGATTTTTACTCAGGATAAATAATCCACAGAGATATTTGCTCTCTTCTCCATGGTCTGAAACGTTCATATTCAGTCACTGCCTCACAGACACTTGAGTTAACAGTTTTTTTATGCTTACTTTATGTCGTACCATAGCAGGTGTTGATAAAGCTCCTGATCAGTCTGAATTCTGTGAATCCAGATGTTAGGAACGAATCTGGTTATTGTTCACCCCCCGGAATATCCCTCCATGTACTAATGTCCCTGTTGGACCCATATGAAATGTGACCAGCAGTGACTTTTTATGAGATGTTTAAATAAACAAGGGTTAAGGGCCACTAAAGAGCTACAACAAAAACCAGCTCTATTTTTTGTGATGGCTTACATATTGTCCACTTTCATAAATGCAAGTTTTCTTAAACTTACAAATGTCCAAAAACAATAAGAAAAAAAAAATGACTTCTACAGCACAGTATAGTTTTTTTACTGAAAACATAATTTGACAACCAATAAAACTCAATACGATTTAAATTATTGTCATGATAATGTGTCTTACAGTAGAATACAGGATAATACCTTGAGAAATGCCTAAGCAGCCAATGGTTGTAAAGCCACCATCCACACTGCCACACTTATTTTTATTATTATTATTATTTATATAACGCCAACAAATTCCGCAGCACTGTACAATGTGTGGACTAACAAACACGTAATTGTAACAAGACAAGTTGGACGAGCAGGAACAGAGGGATTGAGGGCCCTGCTCAATGAGTTTACATGCTCGAGGGAGTGGGGTAAAGTGACGGAAAAGGTAAGGGTAGAAAAGTAGTGTAACGGCACCCCGGCCATAAAAGGGGGTTAAAGCCGTTTAGGAGATATTCCCTTTTAGATACAAAGGCAGCTACCCAATACACCAATCCGTCGAACAGGAAAAACCATACAAAAGGTTTACACTCCAAACTGACGAATAGGAAAAACCATCCGAAAGGTTTACACTCCAAACAGCCGAACAGGATAAGCACACGAATAAATCCCCCCAAGTACGAGACGAGGCTCTGTATTGAGGGTCAAGCAGGAATCTGGTTTAATGTGGGCTACCTGCCCAGTATTTATGAAGGTCTCCCACCAGGTGGACACTCCCCTAGGGGACCTGGTGGAAAACTGGGACAAAATACAACAGTAACCAATCAGAGCATTACAGAGATAAAACACTCCCACAGGCACATTGTAACCCCTCCTCTCTATCCTGGAGATAGTTGGGAAGTAACTCAATTATCTCCGAGGATAGAGGCAAAACTCCATTTTACACATGGCAATAAAAATACATAAAAATATATAACTTCTAAACTACCGAATACAATACACACATTTAACGTATCCCCAGATAGCTTAGATCTGAGTGCACATTATTACCGAATGACGCTCAGATCACATACATACAGTTCAATCGCCATGGAGCTAAAGTCTTTCATTTAGTCTTTTGTTATACGAATGGGCTCCATGGGATAGCTATCTGAGGTAGCTCCGTTCGTCGTTTTAATCTCCCGAACGGCCCGGCGCTTGTATGAATGAATGAGGCAGGAGAAGGGAGATCGGCGGTTTCAGCGGTATTCGTGAAGAAAAGTGTCCGTTTCCAGTTCCATGGAATCATCGATGAACACCGCTGTGCATTTGACAGTTTAAGATGGCCGCCGCCACGTGTTCGGCTATACGAACGACGGCCACCCAGCGTTCGTAAATTAAGTTGCGGTTAACCGCAGCTTCTAGGAGGTAAATTGCTGGCACACTCCCTACACAGGTGGTCCGGTCATTTGTATGTTTGTTCGGTAAATTCAATTTACCGAACGCCCAGGCGAAAAGGCACGAACAAGCTTTTCTGCAGGGAGGAATAAGGGTTTTACATGGGGGCCATAGTCTTGAGGCAGCAGACGAGCAACCAGGCTTCTCCAGGGCCCAGTGGCGAGGTTAGTTTCGCCACAAGTAGGTTGGTAGAATATTTGACAGTTACAGGAGATGAATCATACTTTCACCAAGCATACCTTCATCAATGAAACGATGCAGTAAGATGGGGAATGCTGCCAACAACATGGATGGGTCGTGCTAAGGTTGCCCCTAGTGGCCTTATGTAGAGTTGTTTCTCGGTAGGATTAACTACTGCACCAGACAGGGGTCTAGAAAAGAATTATCAGCTCAATATTTTCCAAGTTAAACATGCTTTAACTTGAAGGGGACTTCCAGCTAAAACACCTTAAAGCCTTTTAAATTGAATGCAACGACCATTGACAGATCCCCAATTAAACAGCTCTGTAAGCAATTTAGTGAGCAATACATTCACCAGTTTCTTATTTTCCTACATCATAAAGTTGTGTTCGATTTTAAGTGTGAGGCCCCCAAAGTGTGTAAAGGGTATTATTTCAGCATTAACTAACCCATAATCCACAGATATTTCTGATTTTATTTTATGATCAGTATTCGTTTCCACATCCATCTTATAAAGAAAATTACTTATTTTTGGCACAATGACAAAATTCAAGATAATGACATGGAATATTTTTATGTGGGGAAACATATATTTTAGTCCAATATCTATATAAATAGTCTGGGAAACTAGATGACCTTGTTCACAGACAGAGACCCATGATCTATAACAATTACTATGTATGGGATACATTAATGCTAGTATACATTTTTATTTGTTACACATTTCTTAAATATTGCTTTCCTTAATATTTAGGTAAACTAGAAAAATGGTCAGAATTGTGGCAACTGACATTTAATGTGGATAAGTGCAAGATAATGCATCTTGGACGTAAAAACCCAAGGGCAGAGTACAGAATATTTGATAGAGTCCTAACCTCAACATATGAGGAAAGGGATTTAGGGGTGATTATTTCTGATGACTTAAAGGTAGGCAGACAATGTAATAGAGCAGCAGGAAATGCTAGCAGAATGCTTGGTTGTATAGGGAGAGGTATTAGCAGAAGAAAGAGGGAAGTGCTCATGCCATTGTACAGAACACTGGTGAGACCTCACTTGGAGTATTGTACACAGTACTGGAGACCGTATCTTCAGAAGGATATTGATACCTTAGAGAGGGTTCAGAGAAGGGCTACTAAACTGGTTCATGGATTGCGGGATAAAACTTACCAGGAAAGGTTAAAGGATCTTAACATGTATAGCTTGGAGGAAAGACGAGACAGGGGGGATATGATAGAAACATTTAAATATATAAAGGGAATCAACAGGGTAAAGGAGGAGACTATATTTAAAAGAAGAAAAACTACCACAGACTAGATGGGCCGAATGGTTCTTATCTGCCGTCACATTCTATGTTTCTATGTTATCATTTATTTCACTGAACTACATCCATAGCGTCCTGAATCCATGGTGCCCAGGACAAATGGCAACAGTTGAAGAATGAAGATAGTACACTTGTCAGGAATGAAGTGGATCTTCAGCAAGATATTAGCCAACACCTAACAAAAAGCACAACGAGAGCAATAGTGAAGGTGTTTTACCGGACCTTAGAGTGGCCAGGCTTAACGCTTAGTGTAGAAATAGGAAGTAGCAGAACTTAAACTACGAACTCCAAGGACAGATATACTAGGCAAAGACAAACACAAAATCAGAAAAAAAGAAAGAACTAAATCAGGGTCAAGACTAGCTGGGTCAGGGATATCAGTAGGACAAAATCCATTGTCAAGGATTAGTCAAAACCAGAAAAATAGAAAAACCCTGAGCCTGGTACCATGGGTCTTCGGGTCTTGTACCAGGAAAGGGAGCTGATCCAAGCGTATACCGAGTTTAAATGGGATCCTGACGAGATAATAAACCTGTATCGGTTGTGCATGAAAAATATGAAATAAGACATAGAAAACCAGAAAGGTGCATCCAGTATGACTTGAGCTGGGCAAAATTGATGCAGGAGCTTCATTTCTGGTGAGTATCCTTGTAATTGATGCAGGAGCTTCTTTTCTGGTGGGTATTCTTGTAATTGATGCAGGAGCTTGTAATTGATGCAGGAGCTTCATTTCTGGTGGGTATTCTTGTAATTGATGCAGGAGCTTCTTTTCTGGTGGGTATTCTTGAAATTGATTCAGGAGCTTCTTTTCTGGTGGGTATTATTGTAATTGATGCAGGAGCTTCTTTTCTGGTGGGTATTCTAATTGATGCAGGAGCTTCTTTTCTGGTGGGTATTCTTGTAATTGATTCAGGAGCTTCTTTTCTGGTGGTTATTCTTGTAATTGATGCAGGAGCTTCTTTTCTGGTGGGTAATCTTTAATTGATGCAGGAGCTTATTTTCTGGTGGGTATTCTTGTAATTGATGCAGGAGCTTAATTTCTGGTGGGTAATATTGTAATTGATGCAGGAGCTTCTTTTCTGGTGGGTATTCTTGTAATTGATGCAGGAGCTTCTTTTCTGGTGGATAATATTGTAATTGATGCAGGAGCTTCTTTTTTGGTGGGTATTCTTGTAATTGATGCAGGAGCTTCTTTTCTGGTGGGTAATCTTGTAATTGATGCAGGACCTTCGTTTCTAATGGGTAATCTTTAATTGATGCAGGAGCTTCTTTTCTGGTGGGTATTCTTTAATTGGTGCAGGAGCTTCATTTCTGGTGGGAATTCTTTAATTGATGCAGTAGCTTCTTTTCTGGTGGGTAATCTTTAATTGATGCAGGAGCTTCATTTCTGGTGGGTATTCTTTAATTGATGCAGGGGCTTCTTTTCTGGTGGGTAATCTTGTAAGTGATGCAGGAGCTTCTTTTTTGGTGGGTAATCTTTAATTGATGCAGGAGCTTCATTTCTGGTGGGTAATCTTTAATTGATGCAGGAGCTTCTTTTCTGGTGGCTAATCTTGTAATTGACGCAGGAGTTTATTTTCTGGTGGGTAATCTTGTAATTGATGCAGGAGCTTCTTTTCTGGTGGCTAATCTTGTAATTGACGCAGGAGTTTATTTTCTGGTGGCTAATCTTGTAATTGATGCAGGAGCTTCTTTTCTGGTGGGTAATCTTGTAATTGATGCAGGAGCTTCTTTTTCTGGTGGGTAATCTTTAATTGATGCAGGAGCTTCTTTTCTGGTGGGTAATCTTGTAATTGATGCAGGAGCTTCTTTTCTGGTGGGTAATATTTTTATTGATACAGGAACTTCTTTTCTGGTGGATAATCTTGTAACTGATGCAGGAGCTTCTTTTCTGGTGGGTAATCTTGTAATGGATGCAGGACCTTCTTTTCCGGTTGGTAATCTTTAATTGATGCAGGACCTTCTTTTCCGGTTGGTAATCTTTAATTGATGCAGCAGCTTCTTTTCTGGTGGGTATTCTTGTAATTGATGCAAGAGCTTCTTTTCTGGTGGGTATTCTTTAATTGATGCAGGAGCTTCTTTTCTGGTTGGTATTCTTGTAATTGATACAAGAGCTTCTTTTCTGGTGGGTATTCTTTAATTGATGCAGGAGCTTCTTTTCTAGTGGGTATTCTTGTAATTGATGCAAGAGCTTCTTTTCTGGTGGGTATTCTTTAATTGATGCAGGAGCTTCTTTTCTGGTTGGTATTCTTGTAATTGATACAAGAGCTTCTTTTCTGGTGGGTATTCTTTAATTGATGCAGGAGCTTCTTTTCTAGTGGGTATTCTTGTAATTGATGCAAGAGCTTCTTTTCTGGTGGGTATTCTTTAATTGATGCAGGAGCTTCTTTTCTGGTTGGTATTCTTGTAATTGATACAAGAGCTTCTTTTCTGGTGGGTATTCTTTAATTGATGCAGGAGCTTCTTTTCTAGTGGGTATTCTTGTAATTGATGCATGAGCTTCTTTTCTGGTGGGTATTCTTGTAATTGATGCAGGAGCTTCTTTTCTGGTGGGTATTCTTGTAATTGATGCAGGAGCTTCTTTTCTGGTTGGTATTCTTGTAATTGATGCAGGAGCTTCTTTTCTGGTGGGTAATCTTGTAATTGATGCAGGACCTTCTTTTCTAATGGTAATTTGATGCAGGAGCTTTTCTGGTGGGTATTCTTTAATTGGTGCAGGAGCTTCATTTCTGGTGAATTCTTTAATTGATGCAGAGCTTCTTTTCTGGTGGGTAATCTTGTAATTGATGCAGGAGCTTCTTTTCTGGTGGGTAATCTTGTAATTGATGCAGGAGCTTCTTTTCTGGTGGGTAATCTTTTAATTGATGCAGGAGCTTCTTTTCTGGTGGGTAATCTTGTAATTGATGCAGGAGCTTCTTTTCTGGTGGGTAATCTTGTAATTGATGCAGGACCTTCTTTTCTAATGGGTAATCTTAATTGATGCAGGAGCTTCTTTTCTGGTGGGTATTCTAATTGATGCAGGAGCTTCATTTCTGGTGGGAATTCTTCATTTCTGGTGGGAATAATCTTTAATTGATGCAGGAGCTTCTTTTCTGGTGGGTAATCTTGTAATTGATGCAGGAGCTTCTTTTCTGGTGGGTAATCTTGTAATTGATGCAGGAGCTTCTTTTCTGGTGGGTAATCTTTAATTGATGCAGGAGCTTCTTTTCTGGTGGGTAATCTTTAATTGATGCAGGAGCTTCTTTTCTGGTGGGTAATCTTTAATTGATGCAGGAGCTTCTTTTCTGGTGGGTAATCTTGTAATTGATGCAGGAGCTTCTTTTCTGGTGGGTAATCTTGTAATTGATACAATAGCTTCTATTCTGGTGGGTATTCTTTAATTGATGCAGGAGCTTCTTTTCTAATGGGTATTCTTTAATTGATGCAGGAGCTTCTTTTCTGGTTGGTATTCTTGTAATTGATGCAAGAGCTTCTTTTCTGGTGGGTATTCTTTAATTGATGCAGGAGCTTCTTTTCTGGTGGGTATTCTTGTAATTGATGCAAGAGCTTCTTTTCTGGTTGGTATTCTTGTAATTGATGCTGGAGCTTCTTTTCTGGTGGGTATTCTTGTAATTGATGCAGGAGCTTCGGTTCTGGTGGGTATTCTTGTAATTGATGCAGGAGCTTCTTTTCTGGTGGCTAATCTTGTAATTGATGCAGGAGCTTCTTTTCTGGTTGGTATTCATATAACCTTCTGTTATTCTTTTTTGTGGATAATTCAGTGGAGGACGTTGAAACTTTCATTTTTTATTTTAATAATTTTTTTTAGTCAATAATTTTGTGGGTAATTAATAAAGGGATTGCAAATTGTGACTGATTTCTTGGATCCCAGTACTATTTCAGATACTCTTATTATTTCAGCCCTTTCTATTGGATGGATCGCATGTACTGATCGGTTGCTTGTTCATCAGATCTCCCTTATTTGGCTACTTTCACTTTATTAATACTGACTGCTTACTCGGACTTGACATTGACCCGTTTGTGGCTATATACCGGCTCTTATGTTTCTCCACCTCCATTGCTGTTTGCAGCTATATTTCCTGTTACGTTTGTGTTTGATGTAACAATAGTTAAAGGAGCACTATAGGGTCAGGAACACAAACATATATTTTTGACCATATAGTGTTAAAACCACAATCTAGCCCACCTGGACCTCTCTTGCCACCCTAAATATAGTAAAATCTTACTTGTATTCAAGTGTGCAGCTGCTACCTCTGCCCCTGTTCTCCTCAGACATGCCTCTATGAGGAAAGTTCAGTGTCTGCATGCAGAGGGTGGAGACACTGAATGTCAGTCACACTTTGCAGCACTGCCCCAGGAATCACCTTTAGTAGCCATCTGAGGAGTGGCCAGTATCCCTACGCTTTAATGTTAACACTGCATTTTATCTGAAAAGACAGTGTTTACAGCAAAAAGCCTGAAGGGAATGATTCTACTCACCAGAACAAATGCAATAAGCTCTAGCTGTTCTGGTGACTATAGTGACCCTTTATATGCCCTAAAATGTCAACATACACTATGCTGATGTTTAGTGTAGTTCCAGTGAATCAGAGTGGGCTCACTACCCCAACCAACATGCTTTACTGGCGTGCAACAGCCGCTGGACTCCTAATTTAAGTAAAGGGTGACAGCTATCTGCCAGCAACACAGTAGAATTAGCCCTGAAATCAGACACAAAACTGTCTTTAGAAAGATATATACAGGAGCTATATATATATAGATTCATGTATTTAAGGTAAACATATCTGAACTGAAATAATTCTCTAAGTCCCCCATGCTTTCAGTTTGTCCTTAACTTTCAAATTCACCTTGAATTCTCACGTTAGTAAATAACCCTGATAGTGTCACCAACAGCAACCTTATCAAGCAGGCATGGTTCGGGGAGTCCATACCTATAAAGAGAGATACTAAAGTGGTGATGTATGCCACACTAACAACAACAACAACATAATAATAATAATATCAGACTTGTTTAGCAGTTAAAATGCACTTAGAGTATTCTGATTTTCAGGGATGTTCCATAGATTTAGATATTGTTGCCAAGCTCAATAATATTGTTTTAATTGAACTGATCCTTGGAATGACTCAGTGATCCCGTGGCATTGGACATGATATGTTATCTATATAACACTATCATATATAATAACAATAATTCAAAGTAATATACAGTATCTCTCTAACTTTCTCTCACAGCTATCAGACAGGGCTCTGACCTTTATAGTGACAACGGAAATGAAAAACTAGCGGAAGATGGCGGCTTAGGGGGATGATTGACAAATATTGTTTCTCTGTGTTGTGAGAAAGAAAGGCCAAACATGCAAACAAACCGTGCATGTCAGTTTAAAGGCCAGGACGGGGAACACAATAGGATTTCCTGATAAATTGAGTGGGGAGTTTATTTACTAAACAGCAACTTGTGGAGAGTCCAGGACAATAAGGCAGTATTTTGGCTGAATAAAACTTAGCTGTGTTGGAGATTATTTCCATCGTGATTAATTTTGTTTAACTTATTCTCTATTTAGTAAATAGCTTTCTCCGTATTTCTTGCACATTACAGTCTGTTCGCTATACAGTGAAGCGTAGTGAACCGGAAATCAAATGGCAAAATGTAGGATAAAATAGGCAAACCGTGCTTAGAACCTCTCGTAGTGACTGAGATCATATTATATCCTGCAGGATAACAGATCTCTGCACTCTGCACCTGCTTGGACAAATTCCTCATAGCTTCCGCTTCCAATAGTTGAAAAGGGGAAGATGGTGACGTCAAGAATGGAGAGCTTCAAGTAGTCTCACTTCTACCGCAGGTGTCATGATGCTAGGGGTCTCACCTGAGGGGCCTTGTAAAAATGCAGCAACCATACAAGTGAGTGTGTCACTTTAAAAGGACATTCCAGAAACACTCTGGTCGTCAACAAAATTTAAAGTGAAACTGTCAGATTTACATTACTGAATAAAACACTCATCTATAATTTGTATTAAACTTTTTTACAAGATGCTCTATTTTCTATCAAATGTATGCATGCTACAGATCTAGCAAATCAAAATCCATTCAGGCAGGGTAAACATTGCAAATGAAGAGGTGTAATAGGAAACATTGTTTTAGGTCTCCCTTTCTCTGTCTGCTCTCTCAATGCTGAATGGCAGGTGTAAAGGACAGAGATAATATCAATGATTGCCAGGGAGCCAATATCAGTTATTGACAGGGAGCTAAGACGGAGGTACCCAGTCACAAAATATTGAGGTGTGGATTTCTACATTTAATGTGCTGTTTCGATATATATACCATATATACTCAAGTATAAGTCTAGTTTTTCAGCACATTATTTGTGCTGAAAAACCCCCACTCGACTTATACTCGAGTCAGTGTCTGTATTATGG